CAAAAAGTGGTGATCAGAGATGTGATTAATACTACATTTATAAATATAATGAATATTAACGATAAGTCACGTGTATCAGTTGTGAAAGATATGATGAAATTATGAACTGATACTACAAAAGTAATGTTTTTTATTTATAGCATTAATATGAAAACAATATTAATTATAATTCAAGTTTATTATTTTATTAAATTAAACTAATGCTGATTACATAGATGATGATGAACCACTCAATAATAGCAATAAAGTAAAATGTGAAGGGCTATAAGGTAAATAATCATCTATCTTATTAAATAATTTATGATACTAAAATTTTTTAGATACAAAACATTGAAGAATCTTTAGTTAAGTAAACATATACTAGCAAAAAGTTGCATTAATTAACATCATAAATAGAATTCTGAATAAGTCGAGTCAAGTCAAGTTTAAAAATCAACTCTATTTGACTCTTTTTTTTCAAGTCGAGTCGAGTCAAATTTATTTTATAAAATCTTTCAATTTGATTTGATTTGAGTTATATAAATTTTAAACTCAACTCAATTTAACTTGACTCGATTTTAATTTAATTTGATTTTGACTTGAATTTATTTAAATTGAGTCAAATTCAAATCAAGTTATGAGTCAATTTTAAACTTTTATAAACTTTTAAATATAAAAAAAAAAGATTAGAGGGGAAAGGAGGAAAGAAGGAGAAGGGAGTGAACAATTTGTCATCATTCTTCTTGAATGATTTTTTATCATTCAAATCAAATAATTTGTTATCATTCTTCTTGAACGATTTTTTATCATTCAAGTTAAACAATTTAGGTCATCGTTCTTCTTGAATGATTTTTTTTATTGTTCAAGTCAAATGATTCATCATTATTCTTCTTGAATAATTTTTTTTATCATTCAAGTTGAACGATTTATCATCATTCTTGAATGATTTTTTTATCGTTCAAGTTGAATGATTCATCATCGTTCTTCTTGAACGATTTTTTTTATTGTTCAAGTCAAAAAATTCATCATCATTTCACTTGAACAATTTTTTTATTATTCAAGTCGAACGATTCAGGTTATCGTTCTTCTTGAATGATTTTTTTTATCGTTCAAGTCAAACAATTCGGGTTATTATTCTTCTTGAACAATTTTTTTATCATTTAAGTCAAACGATTTAGGTTATCATTCTTCTTGAATGATTTTTTTATTGTTCAAGTCGAACAATTCGTCATCGTTCTTCTTGAATGATTTGATTTTTTTTATCGTTCAAGTTGAATAATTTCTTATTATTCTTCTTAAATAATTTGATTTTTTTATCGTTCAAATTGAACGATTTCTTATCGTTCTTTTTAAATGATTTTTTATCATTCAAGTCAAACGATTTCTCATCGTTCTTCTTGAACGATTTTTTTATCGTTCAAGTTAAACAATTTCTTATCATTTTTTTTGAACGATTATTTTTCTATAGGATCGCAGTCTTAGAACTGCAGTTTCAAACCTAGTCTTAGAATTCAGTCTTAGGACTCAAGTCCTATGGACTGGGAGTTTCGGGACTAGATTAGAACTGGACTGGATTTTAACATCTCTAAAAATAATACTATTTTAAGTCAACTCGAGTTAACTTGAATCAAGTCAAGTTTAAATCAAGTCGAGTTAAATATTTAACTTAACTTGAATTTGGCTTGACTCGCAAATCATTGAGTCAAAAAACATAAACTTAACTTGATTTAAACTCAATTCAGCTTATCTGACTTATGAGTTAACTCAACTCATTTAGAACTTTAATTATAAAGGCAAATTAATTTTTAACATTAGCAACTTCTAAGTTTATAACAATTAAATTATTCAGAATTCTTAAAAAAACAGTTTAATTTTTTAATAGTATCCTTCAACAATATCTTTTTCTTTATTGTAATTTATTATAAATATGAAATGTAATGCTTAATAATAATTAGCTGAAATAAAAATTTAATTATCACGTGATATCATAGTCTCATTTAAGGGGGAGAAGGGGACGAATCTATAGTAATCTATAATTACGTCATATATATAAGCTCCTTTATTTGATCTTTAATTATATATTGATTATAAAATTGATATTTTGAATCAAATTTATTAATTATATATCTCTATTCTTAACACTTTATACTGAAAGATTGTATATTATATATAATATAATTAATAATATATTTATTATATTTTTGTTATTTTTTTTTAAAATATAAATCTTTGCAATAAGATATAAAATTTTTGTCATTACTAAACATTAAGATCAAAATGTTCATATATAGTTAATTTAGAAATTTCTTTTATTTTGATCTAATAAATCGTAATATTATTAATTTTTCTTAAATATTAGAATTAGTATCATCATTACTTATTTCATTATTTTTCTAAAAATTTTTTTTATCTGAATAATGTAGTATTATCATCTTTATAATAAATAATAAAATAAAATAATATATAAGAAAAAAGTATGAAAATAATTTATCTTAATTTTATTTTTATCACTGCTAAATAATTAAAGTTAATAAATATTAAAGTAAAATCTGCAATTATTACATAAATAAAATTTGAAAAATCACAGATTATTACTTTATATATAATGGTTACCAAAAGAAATACAAGTGTGATTAGTTATTTTTGAAAGATTATAACTCATAAATCACAAATGCTAGAACTATGATTTTGTATTTATTTTAAAGTCTAAATTATGATATTCTGAATTTATTTTCTATTAATGTGTAATAGTTAGAGGATAAACTGTAGATATATTTTAAAATAGAACATATTTGATCTCACTATTAAATTACCTCTATAGGTCTTCAATTTCATTAAGAGTAACCTACTTAAAAACCATTTTCATACAATTACTACCTAGTATAAACCACCTAAAATAGCTATTACTTACTATCACAAGCTCATTAGACTTTTTTGAGTACTATCACCTTTGGATAGAGAGTTCACTTTAATTATAGAGTTGTTATACCCTATTTTTATCAATTTAATTTATAGAGTTTTACCCTATTGATAACTTCTAAGACCATAAGATTAGGTTTTTTATATAGATAATGATTTTGTATCTATAATATCAAATTCACCTAAAAATTAAATTCAGTCACTACCCCTAGTGATAGTTTGATTGGATGGTGCTGTAGCAGAATAATGCAGTCTATTATCACTATAATAACCTAAAAATAATATCTAATTTACTAATTACTGGCACTTTCTTACTTGTGTAAAGACCCTGAATTTGAAGACGTATGACAGTATCTATTATAAACCTATTAGCAAAGGCCAAGTTTCTGTCAATCCCTAGGTTTTTTTGCATCTATATATTTTTCAAAACCCAATATTTAAGCATGATTAAAGATGGTCACCACAATTAAAAAAAATGGCGCAATTGAGTTGCAACTTGTGGCGCAATTAAATTTCCTTATGGCGCAATTAAGTTGCAACTCAATTGAAATTTGAAAATAATTATGGGGACCATCTTTAAGCATGATTAACACTGATCAATAGATCAATTGATCAGTTTCTAACATATATTAGTATATATGTTAACGTATTTAGTTATATATGAAATTTTTATGAAAATTATTTAGTTTTATGCCTCAGCTAAGACCTGAACCTGTGAATATTGCAGTGTAATCCATAATAGAGACTCACACTTTATAGATTAAGCCAGGATCACTAATCTTTAAGATATTCTAACAAATTTTTTTTCTATTAATGTGCGTAGTTGAAGGTAAGCTGTAAGCATATTCTAAGATCATGTTTTATTCTATAATGAGATTACTTCTATATGTCTTCGATCCTATTTATAGAATACAACCTGCCTATAAGCACATTCCTATATGGTTACCATCTAGTATAGACTATCTAAAACCACTTAAATCTGCAGTCACAGGCTTACTAGATCTTATTGAATACTGTTACCTTTGAATAAAGGGCTCACTTCAACTAAAGTTTGTCACACACCCTATTTTTACTAATCTAATTTATAGAGTTTAATCTTATTGATAACTTCTAAGAACTTAAGATCAGGTTTTTTATATAGATAGTAATTTTATATCCATAATGTCAAATTCATTTAGGAATTGAATCCAACCTCTACTCCTATTGATAGTTTGGTTGGATGATGCTGCGACAGTGCAATGAAATCTATTATCACCATAGTTACCCAAAGATAGTACATAATCTACTAATTACTAGTTAACCAACCACTTTCTTACTTATGTAAGAGCCCTTGAGTTTAAAAACATGAAATAGTTATCAAGTGTCAGCAAATTTTGTGTTACATTATAATTATTATATAATTTATATATAGTTCGAATTTTAAGGTAATTATAATTTAAATGAACTTTTATGAATTTTCAAAACCATATACTGTATGTTTTTAACTTATTATTCAATGTATATTGTACTAATAAAAAAGAGGAGTTTAATTAGAAGCAAAAAATATTTTTCTTTAAATTTTATATGTAAATGCAAATGAATTGCCGATCATTTATTTACTAATTCAAATTTGCCAATGTCGATCTGTAACATTTTCCTTGATTGTTAATTTTTGATGGTAATGCCGCAAGGGCGCGTAACTATTTTCTGGGTGGTTGAGTCTTAATTACATAAAATATTTTATTAAAATAGATTATCTTTCGAAGAAACATAATTTCAAGAAAGCATTTATTCAGGCATAGACAATTTTATTAATACGATTATTAGAATACATTTTCAGATGCTGAGACTGAACAAGCTTGTCTGAGCTCATCAAAACCTTCTGCTTTAAAATTTTCAGCAATTACATAATCTTTTTCATCCTTAGTTAGGTTTAAGACGTATGATGGGGGAATAATCCGCGCTATTAAAAAGTTTATACATCTTTTCGGATTTTCCGAAAAGCTTCATCAGGTCCTGAACCTCATTTTTAACCAAAGCCCGAGATCCATCTTTCTGTGGACGGTCTTCTCTTAACTAAAGTCAAGACTTCATCAAATACAAAATAACTGTAAATAATGTAGCTAAAATTTCGCTGACCTTGGTTCAGGAAAAGTCAGAGAATACTGGTTGCATACACACATCATACTCGTATCACCTTAGTGTCTTAGGAAAGAATAATCACGTACGTACATTCCGTTTCAGAACAAATACCACAAGTGATGAGAAAAGCATGCATTACACACATACACTAGTTGAATGGCAAACTTTCTTAACTTTGGTTTGTTATTTTTTTAATGACTGGCAAAGCGCCGAAGCGTCAAAATGCAGTAATATACATTAATTATATCGAGAACTTTCACATTATAAATCAGATAGTATTTGTCTGTAAATACATATTCAAGTGCCAATATGTTTACTATATCCAAACTAATGAACTACGATAATCCTTTTTCGGTTTCTGTGGTGATCGGTACTCCTGTAATCGGGCATTCATTAACACTTTTCCACTAGTGAATTTTTCCTTAAAAGCCCTTTCCTTCATAAGCTTGAAACGGCAAACTGTAAGATTCAACAGTTTCTGCAAATAGCAAGGAAGATGAATATAAAACTATAATTTAAATACTGTGTTTTGGATTGTACCAACCTTAACCTGAAGCATAATGCGCGAAACCCTAATGATAGACCCAAGTTCCGAATATGTCGTTGGAATATCAAAGTCCGCCAAGTTTACTGATGAATAAAACCCGCCTCCTATATAAACAACTAAGAAGGCACGAATAAAAAACAATGAGATAAGAATCCAGGCATGAGAAGCTTGGTATTCTTGTTTTGACAGCATTCCTCCACCTTCAACTGATATAGCTTCATTCTTTCGATTTCAATCATAGAGCCGGTGCGCTCGCAAAATGAAAATTCGCGACCATACGGCAAATCTTTTGCTATATCATGCTTCTGTTAATTTAAGTTAATATTGGTAAGTAATATTAACAATGAACCTCCAAAATCTAGTGTACCGTGAACATCCAGTCCGTATGATAGCCTTCTGTGGTTTCTGGGGTGTCTATTGCCCCAACTCGACGATCTCGAGAAGCCCTTGATACCATCTCCCCACTTATTTAAGAACAATTATAAGTATTATTAACAACAACGAAAATGCTTAGAATTGACAGTGGAACTTACAAGTGGCTGTCTAGAATATTGTCAAAGCACGAAAATAGGTGCCGTTTGATGAATACATCAACGTCTCTTTCAGAATATTTTCGCTGGGGAATTCCCTTCGCAAGCATTTCACATCTGGTTAAAGTTATGGTTAAGGAACTAAGCAGATACATGCAGAATAATAAAATTTCCGAATTAACATTAATTGAATAACTTACGTAAATCGAACCAAGTCCAAAATAAATTGCACATCAGGGTTCAGGTAGTCTTTTTCTTCAACAGAAGGTGTTGGCTTTACCTTATCATTCGTATCTTCATCGCCAAATAAAGAAACGCTCAAGCTTGATGTCTCAACGTTCTTCATTATTTTCTGAATTTCAAGGATAGCTCCATGTGATCCTTCGAGTTGCACTATTTTTCCAACCCTACTGAGATGATCGTTATCAAGCTGGGATCAAAAACGTACGTTAATAAATAATACAAATAAAATGAAACAAAATATAACAATGCTAAATTATCAACACTGACCTTAGCAAGAGCCTGTAAGCACCTCTCAACTGAAGGTTCCAGTATAGCCCAATCTTCAGTGGGATTGCCTACATTAAGGACAGATGCAAATACGGCGATCAGCTCCGACATGTCCGCTTCAGTCAGAAGATCTGATGTAATTTTTGGATCAGAAGCATCTATTATTCGCCACCAGATCGGGCTAAGAATTAGTCAAGAATTGGTCAGGATTTGGTGCAACAAAAAGTAAAAATAACCTTATATATATCAAAAAAAAAATACCTTAATGACGATTTATATCTGGAAGACGGATCCGTTTGTGAGATCAAAAACTTTTGTCGGTTTATTACTTTCTTTAGCCAGGTTGGCTCTGGTTCATCGAACTCCCAACCCATCGGCTGAGGTTCGAAAACAGTATCAATAACCTGTATATTCATACAAAAGGTTTTTAAAAAAAATGCTTTTATGTGCTAAACATAAAACGTAATTACCTCAGGCACGGAAGTTGATGGACTGAATTGACGTTCGGGTGTTCGTTGTTGAGCCTGAAACTGCGAATCATGTGACACCACAATCTCCTCTTCATCACTTTCATTTGGTTTGATCTTTTTCTGCTCTGGACCAAATTCGTTTTCTCGATTTTTAGGAGTTTGTAATTTTAAACCTTCGAATAAGGCTTCCTGTTCAATTGCATGTTGAAGAAACTCATCTCGCTTATGTTTTTCTTTCCGATGAATAATCTAAAAGAGATAATGAATATGTATTTCTGAATTTATCTATTATAAATAGTGATAAATTTATGTGAATACCATACCTCAATTACCTTGTCCTTTTCGCTGTCCGTTTCGTTGTTCACTTTCCCAAACAAATTGGATGATTGAAAAAAGTTTTCGATCTCATTGTTTAAATCCTACATAAATTTAGCTATTACTGCTGATCATCACGATTTCTAGGAAAATAGGTGCAGAAGCAAGTGGCACAAAAAAAAAGAACATATATAAATATACCGGTCCATAGTTAGAGTCATCGGTTTTCAGTTTGTTATCTACTTCGTTTAAGGCGGTTTTGATCAACTTCTCGTGCCATACATTACTGTTCGAGCCGTATTTACCTAATAAGGATATGTAATCAATACAAGTTTGAATTGGAATAGGAACTCAAAGTAATGGGAATGTAATAAAACTTATCTAATTGTAGACTCGAATTGACGACAGATGACTCTGTTATTCCAAACCATCTGAACATCAGGATATTTTTCACGATGATTCTTATATGTTGAAGTAATTATAATATTTAGAGCGATAAAACTAAAGCTGAGGGCACGCAACGAGCACTCAACGGAAACGCAGACCATAAGGTGAACAAAGCGCAGATGCCACCGTTGAGTGCTCAAGAAAAATCCTGTGATACACGACGAAAACGCAGATCTTCAGAGGGTCAAAGCGCAGATGTCCCTCCTAGTCGCATAACCACGTTCGAACCCTCAACATAAAAAAAAGGAATAATCTTATAGTTCTGTAACAACTGGTTTGCAGAAACTCTGACTACTTCCGAATCTTCTTTCATTAGTTCTACAAGATCGCACCTAAGTTTACGGGACTCCTTTTGGTACGAAAAAGTGAAGTCAGATTGCTGACGACGATATTTATAGAAACCAAGAAAGGTGTAATTTTCTGGTAGCGTTTCACGAAAGTAATTAGAATATCTGTTGGACATAGTGAGAATGAGAAAGAAAGTAAGTAAAAGTCGCGTATTGAAGCGTGATGGAAGTTTGTTTTAATTGGTTTAATATTTGTGATCTACATAAAATGTTACACCAAATCAAACCAATAAAAATT